GACACTGACTGACTGACTGGACACTACAGCACAGAGACACTGACTGAATGACTGGACACTACAGCACAGCGACACTGACTGACTGACTGGACACTACAGCACAGAGACACTGACTGACTGACTGGACACTACAGCACAGAGACCCTGACTGACTGACTGGACACTACAGCACAGAGACCCGGACTGGCAGATGCAGTAACTGCGTCAGGTCTGTGTCTCTCACCAGTCCTGCAGCTCCGGCAGCCGCGGCACTGGGAGGCGTAGTTGGGCAGGTCGATGTAGGTGCCGGGCCTGCAGCTCTGGCACTGCGTGTCTGTGTCTGCGGTGCACCGGCTCCTCGCAAAATATCCTGTCAGGAAAGAGGGGCACGGCAACACATCAGCACTTCAAATCCCGCCAGACAGGCAGGTCACCACAGGACAGACGAGTCAAGCGCCTGTAAAGACACTGAAAACAGTCCCGCATCCGGTTCTATTTCAATTTACTGAGCACAGGTACATGGAGGGCCTGCAAGGCGCTAATAATAACAATAACTATGATCATAATAATATTATTATTATTATTATTATTATTATTATTACTAATATTGTTATTGTTGTTGGTGTTGTTATTATTAAATATTACTATAATAATGAATAATATTACTATTATATTATAATAATATTATTATAACACAGTTCTGCTCAGGGTACAGGAGATCTCTCTCCTTGGAACAGCCCACATGCTCTGCAAAGTCCTAACTCTTGGACAATAGCAGGACCTAAGGAATCCAGTGGGTCCCTGGTCAACAGCAACCAGCAGAGAAGCTGAGAAGATAAAACTTTTATTATAATAATAATACACTCCAGCTCTCAGTGGGGAGGAGCAGAGTGATGAAGCCAGTTCAGAGGTGGGGGTTATTAGGAGGCCATGATGGATAAAGGCCAGGGGGGAAATCTGACCGTTTGACAGGACTTTATTTTATATAGCGCCTTTAAAGGCGGCTTCTCAAAGCGCTTCACAGAATGACAACGACAATAAAAAAAAACAATCCACGAGCTATACACAATGAGAAGACACAGTGAGGGGAAACAGCAGATGGAGGGTACTGGATAGAGGAGGAGCAGAGGGGTAAAGAACAGAACCAGTTCAGGACAGGCTCTTCTAAAGACGAAGGTTTAGAGTCGGGATCTGAAGGAGTTTAGAGAAGGTGACTCTCTGATATCCTTAGGGAAGAGAGTTTCAGAGCCTGGGGGCATAACAGGAGAAGGCCCTGTCACCCCTAGAGTGCAGACGGGCTTGGGGGGACTGATAGGAGACCAGAATTAGAAGAGCAAAGGCTGAGAGGTGGGGAGTAGGACCCAGCAACTCAGCCAGGTACTGAGGTGTTAAAGCCCTGCAGAGCCTATTTACCTGGCTTACACTTGCTGCAGCAGACGCCTTTGCTTACATACTCATCCTCAGGGCAGGACCCATTAACTGGTTTGTAAGGATGAACCTGCAATGGACAGGGAGAGTAGGCAGTAAAAACCACGCAGTGGAAAACAAAGAGCTCAAGGCGACCATCGTCATCATTCCGGCGTCCTCCCACTGGAGATGACCCCCCTGTTCCCCCAGTAACGGCGTCACAGCCCAATGACCTCAGCTTTGAGGCACTGGACCGGCCCAGAGGAGGAGACCAGGACAGCACATCCGACGTGCGGTGTCGTCCCCTGTGCCGATCTAGCGCTCCCCTAGTGGGAATCATCATCGCCCTTAATCCATGTCATTGTAAGGGTGCTGCATTTCAAGGGGTACTGCAATGCTATTTTTCGATTTCGGGGTTCGAATCTGCCACTGATGAGTGCATTTCAAGCCACAATTGGAAGCCAAGTGGACACAGCAACTTATAAAACCTCCAATTGACATCATAAAAGAGGTGACATTTCTAGGTGAGCGTGGCACCATGTTCTGAGATTCAGAACGAGGCAACAAAACGTCCGTCCGCAACTGAAACGGCCCTATTACAAGCAGGCTTGTGAATGCATCTCTTTTAATCCGATAGAAATATGGCTCCGGACTTTCCGAGACGGTTTTGTGAATAAATAGCACTTGTTAACTCGGCACGCAGATCACATTGGAGCATTTCTGCAGTGAAATGTCTGCTGCACGACCTGTGCTTATTAGTTCGTCCACCAGTCGTGACGGCGACTAGTGAGCAGGAAGGGCCGCGTCACGTCGCAATTCGCTCGACCTCTCGCTCTCGCCCCAGGATGAGACCAGGGGTTTGCACAGACATGGCAACTTAATACTTTCACAAAGTTCAGGATTTCGTGCCTAATTTGAAATGGGTGCACCGTCAGTGCATTTATTTTGCTACCGAAATTTTAACAACCAGTCTGTGAAACTTGGACCACGGCTCCCCACTGCACCACATTGTGTTCGCAAGGCCCAGCAAACTTTTCATGCCATCTGTATGCGTTGATGACACATATATAAGTACATCCACACCTAGAGCCATTGTGCTTAACTTGTGGTGGCACCCAATTCCAGTACCTCTCAGTTTGAGACTGTCTGCGCTCCGGCACCACCTTGTGGCATGAAGAATGTACGATCTAAAAACCATTTTAAAGATGGTCTCCATTTCACCCCACTGGCTCATGAATAGCACATAAAATAGCCTGCTTTGCTCAGCAATGTGCAACCACCTTAGGTCTCGGAGACTCACGCCTGGCTACGCTGCACACGCTGCCGGTGCAGATTGGGAAGGTGCGGATCTCGCAGGCTCAAACGTTCAACCCGCACACTTCCTCAGAAATGAGGAGAAAATGACTTGGGAAGGTGCATTCATAAAACCTACCCAGCACCAGATCCTCATCCTATGAGTCAGAACTTTTTTGTGCTTAAATCATAATTTAAGGGAAAAAGAACAAAAACGAGATTTACGTCTGTAAGATTACACATTTTGTCAATATGGTCACTCCTGGGCTAAATACAGCACAGGGTAAAGGAAGATCACACAGTCAATCAGAAACCATGCAGACCTGACAACAGGTCCATCAGACAGGCAGTGTCGAAAAACTTGATTCGACCCAATAGCATACGATTACGGCATTTGAAATTACTAATGAAAAAAATCTCTTTTGCATGTTGTCATCAGCATTGGCATTGAAATGTAACCATGAAACACACACCAGAGGACACCAGCGGAAATCAAAACTAAGAACAGGAGGCCTGCCTTTACCCAAAGAGCAGCAGGAGTATGGCGCGAGCTTCCCAATCACGGGGCCGAAGAAGATACTTCGGCTTCTTTAAAGAAACCGTAGGACGGGAACTTTGGATCGATGAAGCGCCGACTGTCCGACAGTGCGCTCGTTAGTCAAGTGCGGCGCACTGGTGTTGAGCACAACGCCCATCCATCCAGGTTCTAGCTGCTTCTTCCGATTCAGGGTCGCAGGGGAGCTGGAGCCCATCCCAGCAAGCAACGAGCACAAGGGCAGGACACACCCTGGATGGGACGCCAGTCCATCACGGGCGTTAAGCACACGTCATAATGAAATGACCGCGCCGAAACACTGAGCTCCGGCACCTTGTCATTTTACCAACTGAGGCCTGGATACATAAATAACATGAGATGTCACTTACCTTGGCCAGTGCAGCCTGCAGAGCTATCAGCATAAAAACAGTGCTGGAGAACATACGTGTCATAATGAGGAAGAGGGAGGGAGATGGGAGTCGAGGGGGAGAGAGCGCGGGGGGGTGGTCAGTAGGAGAGATCCCGGCGGTGGAGGGAGGGAGAGGAGAGGGCTCGGGAAGGCTCCAGGGCAGAGAGGTGCTCACGGCGCGAGAACAGGATCCATTTTGGCGTGCCGCCCATCTGCAGGGAGGGGTACAGAGAGAGACGTCAGTAACCGGCACCGCAGCCTGGAGCGCCGAGACTGTGACACAGCGGGAAAACCGGAGCGCTCACGTCAGGAGGGCGAGTCGACAGGCTGGACACTGCAGCACACAGGCGGGGGGGTGGAGCAGACAGCAGCCCCGTTGGACTGGTCCGTGGAAACGAAACAGACTTCCATTTTCGCACGTGACACGTATTTCACACACACACACACACTCCCACAGACATTCGCACCCAGACGTGCACTCACGATACATACACACACCGACAACACAGACACATACACATACAGCGACATGCCCTCACCTAGATTCACAGTACACAAACAGCCTTTGGTATCCCTGTCTTCCTGGCTCTTCCAATAGTCTCTCATCTTAGATCTAGGTGCTATTCCAGACTCCACGAGGTTTGAAAACAAGCCAGAAGCACACTGAGGGTCAGATACCCTCGCCCTACCAACCGACCCGCCATTTTCAACTAAGCGGTCTTGTGACAAGGGTGAACAGGACACAACACCGAGCACCAAAAGGCGCTGCAGAAACACTTGTACACAGGACCCAGGGCCTGACTCAGACGACCATACAGGACTCTGATTTTTACAATGCGGTTGTGTGGGAAGGGGGGCATTGTTTTTTTTTTTTTCCTGAAGGTCTCGTCTTGATTTCTGTCAAAACGCTACAGCCACTGTCTGAACACAATACACAAGACAAAAGCGTTCAAGCTCGAGAAGACCATGTTCAGCTTGTGGCTAGCGCCGGAAAAGTACATTTTGTTCTTCTTACGCAAAGTCACAGGCAAAGCATCACAGTATGCAAATATAAACCACAACAAGCTTAATAATTATAATACCGTACCTCACTTTTATTCAATGCTGGAACCTGCAGTCTGTATCAGAGCATTTTAACTCACAATGTCCGCCTATTATGAAACTGCTCACACATGGACGATTTTCGCCAGAAGATTCCTCGCATTACGCGTTCATTTCAATCGCTTAAGTCTTCCAGACCGTAACCGTATGAAACGGTTCCCCGTCTGTCCTCAGCTTTTTGTAAAGACCCTTGAGGATTCCAAAGTAAATTTTGTTTGGACGTGTCGCTATAATGTCTGCTGCTGTCGGGACCTCCTGTCGCCGAGTTAAGCTGCGTCAGCCTCCCAGAATGGCTCTAGACATCTATTTTACTTGTCGAAATGACAATGGTTGTTCGGGTAGGCTTTGATGCGTGCCCAACGCATCGGTTTCAAAACGTCTTTGACCCACTTCCTCAGACAGGGGCGAGTCCCTTCTTTCTGACAAAATGGCGATTTCCTCCTCCTCCGAAATCTGATCTAACTTTCGGTTTCACAAACTGAATCGTGTCCTTCTGCTGAGCCTGTAGAACACTACCATCTACCTTCACAGCGAGTAACTGACTTCATAGGACTGGCACCCTGCATGACTGAGACAAAGACTTACCGTCACACTGTAGGACTGGCACCCTGCATGACTGAGACCCAGACTTACCGTCACACTGTAGGACTGGCACCCTGCATGACTGAGACACAGACTGACGGTCACACACTGTAGGACTGGCACCCTGCATGACTGAGACACAGAGTGACACACTGTAGGACTGGCAGTCTCAATGACTGAGACACAGACTTACCATCACACACTGTAGGACTGGCACCCTGCATGACTGAGACACAGAGTGACGGTCACACACTGTAGCCTGATTGTCTGACTGAGAGTAAGGAACTGAGTATACCAGATTTAAGGTGATTTTTTAATGAAATAAATCAAGTATAAATACAATATAAAACAGGAATATATTAAAGAATAAAATAAGGATAAATTAACCCAAGAAATTTACATCATGTGTCAAAAACTGTAGTATAAGAATATAATGGGCTTACAATACCGTGCTGAAGACTGTATTTGACTGTACAAAGCCAAGTGATGTAAAATTGTAAAAACCATTAATATGTTACGTAATATAATAAAAACGTGTAATAATCAAAATTATATTACTGTACATCACAGAATAAAAACTGCTAACTCTGCAGAAAATCATTCCAAAACACAGGAAGTTCTTGTAGAGCAAGTTACAGTCAGAACTGCGGAAATCACCACCCGCCAGGCACCTCGACACTGAAGACTTCCTGCTGCTGCTCAAAACTGAGTCACGGCAAGCAGAACCGCAGCTCCCTGCCCGACTTCCTGCTCAGGGTGCGAGTCTACTGAGAGCAGAGGGCTCACTCTGGGTCTGACTCCGGGCAGGCCACGGTG